TGCTGGACAAATTACCTTTTGCGACTTTGGTTCCTCAACCTCGCTATCAGGAGTATCATTACTCATATGCGAAAGTATGCTATCCTCTATAACTTCTTTTGCAAGCATCTGAAATTAATATAAATAACATGCTGTTAATGTATTCTTTGTACCTTGAATGAAAATATCACTATATTTGGGAACTACTAGGCATTACAAGAGCACCCGAGGAGACATAGAAATAAAAGTGCTACATATGTGAGCACAGGCTGAACTAGCATGAGGATTGGCAGAAGCCAGCCTTTCCAGTAAGCCACTGGGGCAAAACTATCATTCTGTATATGTTAGAAATTTAGGATCTTTCTTGTAAAATTAACCCCACCCAGGTAGAGAAGTAAAGCATACTTGTCACTTTCATTGATTGTAAAGGTTGGAGGTTAAAATCGAAACTTTTGGCTATATACTTGGCATGTAACCTTTGAAGCTATTATTATTTTAATTTATAACTCCTGTTATTTGTACATTTGAATTTTCACCGAAGATGCAGTTCAAAAGAATCCAAAATATCTTGAATTTGTGCAAACAGTTTTCTAATCAAGTACACAAAGATTTTTACTTTAAAAATATCATCAACTGTGATCAGCAGCCTCTCCATTGACACTCACCCATCATGCAAACTATTAAGATACTCAATATCCTTGAAGATACTCGATATCAAGAAGTTGATTAGATCATCCATCTTTACAGAATCTGAAGAAGTTGTGCCCTGAGTTTTCTTATTTACCTTCTCTATAGTGAGTCTTGTTAGTTTACCAAACATCAGCATATTCATTTAAGTCCTAGAGTCAGCAATAAGCGGGCCTCATCCCCATTTGAGTTGGTCCATTCTGATGTTTGGGGACCATGTCTTGTTACTTCAAAACTTGGGTTTAAGTATTTGTTACGTTTGTTGACGATTCCCACTACTTGGCTTTACTTTATGAAAAATCGATCTGAGGTATTCACACATTTTTGTTCACTCTATGCTAAGATTAAAACCCAATTTAAAGTCTCCATTCAAACTCTTCATAGTGATAATGATTCAAAATGGGGTTGCGGAACGAAAGAATCGTCATCTCCTAGAGGTGGCTCGGGCTCTATTAATTCACATGACTGTTCCTAAAGTCTTCTGGGCTGATGTGGTTGCTACCGCTTGTTTTCTTATCAACCGAATGCCTTCCGCTGTCTTGGATGGTAAAAGTCCTTTCTCAATTCTATTTCCTACAAAATCATTGTTTCCTGTCGACCCAAAGATCACTGGTAGTTCCTGTTTTGTCCGCGATACCCGACCTCACATAACTAAGTTGGATCCAAAGTCTCTGAAATGTGTTTTTCTTGGTTACTCTCGACTTCAAAAAGTGTATAAGTTTTTCCCCCATGCTTAATCGGTACATTGTAATCACGAGAAGTTACATTCCATGAGAATATACCCTACATCAGATCCCAAACCAACACCATCTTCATCATCGTCTGCAGATCCGCCTAATGATGATCCTCTTGCTTCGAGTGATCCACCACCTTCAGGTACACAGGTTCTTGATCTTGATGTTCTTATTGCTCTTTGGAAAAGTAAGCGCTCATGTACTTACCCTATTTCTTCTGTTGTTTCCTATGATAAATTTTATTCACGTTCTCGTTTATTGATCTCTACACTTGATTCTTTATCTGTTCCTAAAACGGTTGATGAAGCTTTGGCCCATCCTGGATGGCAGGATGCTATGATTGATGAGATGAATGCTCTCGATCATAATGATACATGGGATTTGGTAGAGTTACCTGCAGACAAAAAGGCAATTGGCTGTAAATGGGTATTCACTGTGAAAGTTAATCCATATGGATTTGTGGCTCGTCTGAAAGCCCGATTGGTAGCCAAAGGATATGCTCAGACTTATGGGGTCGACTACCACGAGACGTTTTCTCCTGTGGCTAAGGTACCATCCATCCGCCTGTTTGTTTCATTAGCCGCTACTTACGACTGGTTACTACACCAACTGGATGTGAAAAATGCCTTCTTGCATGGTGATTTACATGAGGAAGTCTATATGGAGCAACCACCTGGGTTTGTTGCTCAGGGGGAGTCTGGTAGAGTCTCTAAACTGCATAAACCGTACGGTTTAAAGCAATCCACTCGTGCTTGGTTTGGACGGTTCAATGTCGTAGTGACTGAGTTTGGCTTACGGAGGAGCTCTTATGATCATTTTGTGTTNATCAGATTGATCGTGCTAGTCCACGGGGGCAACTAGGGTTTTCTTTATTTAGGTGCTACAACGTTTACAAGTACAATGAGATTAAATATATAGACAAACATAATTAGGGTTATCTCCTAATCAAGGAAACTAGGGTAGAGACTAGGGCCGGCTCCTTTTGGGCTAGGGCCRRCTCCTTTTGGGCTAGGGCCGGCTCCTTACTTTATGCCTCCTCCCTTTTGTCTAACTTAGTAGGCCGAAGCCTACATTCCAACAAGGTTTTCACTTAGACTTAATGTATCGACCATTCGGAGACTTTTGTACCGGTCGCTAAACTCAATATAATTCTTCTTCTCTCCATTGCAGTTAATTTAGACTGGCAGTTACAACAATTGGATGTAAAATCCTGCCTTTCTAAATGGTGATTTAAAGGAAGTGTTTAGGGATGCACCTCCATGTTTTGAAGACAACTTTGACTCTAAGGTGTGCAAAATAAAAAGGTAATGTTTCGGATTGAAACAATCTCCACGAGCATGGTTTGAAAAATTCACTARCTCAGTAAAGAAACAAGGGTATTCACAAGCTCAAGCAGACACACAATGTTCTATGTAGACAATATTATCTTGGCAAGTGATGATATAGAGGAAATTGCTCAATTAAAGAAGAGTTAAGCAAATGAGTTCAAAATCAAGGACCCTGGAAGTCTCAAATACTTCCTAGGAATGGAGATTGCAAGGTCTTAAAAAAGAATAGTTGTTAGTCAAAGGAAATACATGCTAGCCCTTCTGTGCAAGCCATTTGATACTCTTGTTRATCCTAATGTAARGTTATGAGATAGCAAAGATGACAGTGTTGATACTCTTCTATATYAAARACTTGTTGGTAGACTTATTTATCTCACAAACAACCTRACATTGCCTTTGTTGTAGGCTCTATAAGTAGATTCATGYACTCACCTAAGAAGGCACATAAGRAAGMATCTGTTATGTACTTCAGCATCTAAAAGYTTCTCCCATGAAAGGTCTAATGTTCAGAAAACGAGAAAGTCGAAGCATTGAAGCTCATACAAATGTTGATTGGATGAGATCAGTCACTAATAGTAGGTCTACAACTAGCTATTGTTGTTACGTTGGCTATTATTATTACGCATGGGGGAACTTGATGACTTGGGAAACAAGAAGCAAAGTGTTGTTGCTCGCAGCAGTGCAAAAGAAAATTTTAGAGCTATAGCCAAAGGATCATGTGAGTTGAACTGGTTACAATGGATCTAAAAAGATTTCCAATTGAAGATAGAAGCTCCAATGAAACTCACTTGTTATAACAACGCAGCAATTAGCATTGCTAATAATCTAGTGCACCATAATCAAACCAAACATGTGGAAATCAATCGACACTTCAGCAAGGAAAGGATTCAATATGGCGCTGTTTGTTTACCATTTGTGCCAGCCTCTCAACAAACAGCTGARRTCTTYAGGAAGGTCTATTCAAACCTGCATGYTTAGAATGCATAGCTAGRTCTCTACTCTAGAAAGCTATACAGCTATATAGGCAACAACGAGCGTGGGTTGACTCGGGGCTTACCTTTAATTAGTCCTTTCACGACACCTTCTCTCCTCCATTACAACATAGGTCGTTCCAATTCCGGATATAAAAATTTTAAATAAGTCAACGAGAAAGGTCGAATTAAAAGAACTTACGACTAGAAATAGGCTTAAAAGATATCTCAAATCCAACTTTTTTTAGAAGGGTGTCCGAGAGGCTAATCCCGGCAAATTGTGACTGTAAGAAATCAGCCCTGAGATAAGTGGCCATAATTGTTGTGTACGCCTGGAACCGAATCCTAGRCARATGRGATATTCCACCACATTCCCCAGGACTTCAACCACTACGCCACAACCCTTTTGGGCCTAAAATATATCTTCAATCCAACTTGAGGGGGAGTCACGAATTATGAAAAGATATATAAGGATATGGGTAGTTTTCCTGGTTTATCTCTAAGCACAGTTTCCCTAGTCAAATAGGTTCTCTTTATTAGCTTTAGATAGTTATTTATAGACCCTTTACGGTCATTGTAAATCTTATAAATACTTGCATATTCTGCTTTTTTATTAAGGGAGAGAAATCAAAATTTTCTTCCAAAACTTACATCAACATACAAGTTTTTTGTGCACACTACAAGTAGGTCACTTGTGGTTAGTAAAAGACAAGAATGGTCAAGAAAAAAACAAGTCAAATGAAGTAAATCAAAGAAAATTTTTAACCTCTCAATATGGTATATTGGTATACAAATTGCATCCGAAATCTCAAAAAATCCCAAATAAATTTAGTAGATCTTTTTAGGAGACCTCAATAACCATAGATTGAACCTATCATTTATTATATTGCTGTCTACAGAACCAAGGATACTATGTGAAGTACACCTAAAGCAGTTATTGAGTCAATATGGTATATTGGTATACAAATTGCATCCGAAATCTCAAAAAATCCCAAATAAATTTAGTAGATCTTTTTAGGAGACCTCAATAACCGTAGATTGAACCTATCATTTATTATATTGCTGTCTACAGAACCAAGGATACTATGTGAAGTACACCTAAAGCAGTTATTGAGACAACTAAAGCAAAATACAACACCAGAAAATGTAGTTTGCAAGAGAAAAGACGATAAATATACTTCCCATCATTCCATGAGATAGAAATGTCCAATTTTCTGGAACTAGTTGACAAGAGGATGACAATGGCTATCTACGATGATTATATACGTAAGAATAAAATCGCATCTCCTGTAAAGTCTTACCTGATTATCAATTCGTCGGGACTCATGCAAAGATGTTCCAATCACATAGAGACCACCAAGACGTTTCACTTCCAATCCTTCGTTGAAACAGTGAATTTCACAGTCCTTAAGAACTGATAAATAAACAAGTGCAATGGAAGGACCGAGAGGGTACATCTCTGCCTGTTCCTCGACAAGTCTTTCAAGCTCATCTAAAGCCACAAACTGGCTCATCTCGATTGACTCTGAAATAATAGATTTTGCCTTCTGATATGTCCAACTCTTGCTCTCACTTTTGGCTACATATTTAGCTGCATTATTATTCATAATCATTGCCTCTCCCAAACAAAAGAACAAGCAATGCAAGTCAAATACTACCATTTAACATTTAAATGGAATTTATGAGGGGTTCTCAAATGATGAATTGAAGGCATAGGTCACTAACCCATTAGAGCCGTCTTAGCTAGCAAAGCCAACGATGATGGTCCAATTTTCATTTTTGGCAATGCCTACACAACCGAAAGATGATAAGGAACTGATTACGACAGCACAACAAAGATGTTGGACAAATTACCTTTTGCGACTTTGGTTCCTCAACCTCGCTATCAGGAGTATTCTTACTCATATGCGAAAGTATGCTATCCTCTATAACTTCTTTTGCAAGCATCTGAAATTAATATAAATAACATGCTGTTAATGTGTTCTTTGTACCTTGAATGAAAATATCACTATATTTGGGAACTACTAGACATTACAAGAGCACCCGAGGAGACATAGAAATAAAAGTGCTACATATGTCAGCAGAGGCTGAACTAGCATGGGGATTGGCACAAGCCAGCCTTTCCAGTAAGCCACTGGGGAAAAACTAGCATTCTGTATAAGTTAGAAATTTAGGATCTTTCTTGTAAAATTAACCCCACCCAGGTAGAGAAGTAAAGCATACTTGTCACTTTCATTAATTGTAAAGGTTGGAGGTTAAAATCGAAACTTTTGGCTACATACGCCATGTAACCTTTGAAGCTATTATTATTTTAATTTATAACTCCTGTTATTTGTACATGAATTTTCACCTAAGATGCAATTCAAAAGAATCCAAAATATCTTGAATTTGTGCAAACAGCTTTCTAATCAAGTACACAAAGATTTTTACTTTAAAAATGTCATCAACTGTGATCAGCAGCCTCTCCATTGACACTCACCCATCATGCAAACTATTAAGATACTCAATATCCTTGAAGATACTCAATATCTTTGAAGATACTTGATATCATTGTAAAATAGGAATTGGAGATTATGGGTAATATCTCCTTGTAATTTGCTGTTGTGAAGAAGTTGATTAGATCATCCATCTATACACAATCTGAAGAAGTTGTGCCCTGAGTTTTCTTATTTACCTTCTCTACAGTGAGTCTTGTCACTTGTCAGTTTGTCAAACATCAGCATATTCATTTAAGTCCTAGAGTCAGCAATAAGCAGGCCTCATCCCCATTTGATTTGGTCCATAATGATGTTTGGGGACCATGTCTTGTTACTTCAAAACTTGGGTTTAAGTATTTTGTTACGTTTGTTGACGATTACTCTCCCACTACTTGGCTTTACTTTATGAAAAATCGATTGAGGTATTCACACATTTTTGTTCACTCTATGCTGAGATTAAAACCCAATTTAAAGTCTCCATTCAAACTCTTCATAGTGATAATGCAAAAGAATATTTGTCCTAAACATTTCAATCATATATGATTCAAAATGGCATTCTTCATGAGTCTTCCTGTGTTGACACACCAGCCCAAAATGGGGTTGCGGAACGAAAGAATCGTCATCTCCTAGAGCTTGCTCGGGCTCTATTATTTCACATGACTGTTCCTAAAGTCTTCTGGGCTGATGTGGTTGCCACCGCTTGTTTTCTTATCAACCGAATGCCTTCCGCTGTCTTGGATGGTAAAAGTCCTTTCTCAGTTCTATTTCCTACAAAATCATTGTTTCCTGTCGACCCAAAGATCTCTGGTAGTTCCTGTTTTGTCCGCGATACCCGACCTCACATAACTAAGTTGGATCCAAAGTCTGTGAAATGTGTCTTTCTTGGTTACTCTCGACTTCAAAAAGGGTATAAGTTTTTCCCCCATGCTTAATCGATACATTGTATCACGAGAAGTTACATTCCATGAGAATATACCCTTCTTTCCAATGTCCACTCCTTGCAACCCAAGAGATAGTGATGATTTGTTGGTGTATACCATACATGTTCCTGAGTCTACTACCCCATTCGACTCGACACATACCCAAGAGCCTACTAAACCACCAATAGTTTATGTATATAATAGACGGCAACGACCTACATATATCCCAACCCAACACCATCTTCATTATCGTTTGCAGATCTGCCTAATGATGATCCTCTTGCTTCGAGTGATCCACCACCTTCAGATACACAGGTTCCTGATCTTGATGTTCTTATTGCTCTTTGGAAAAGTAAGCGCTCATGTACTTACCCTATTTCTTCTGTTGTTTCCTATGATAAATTTTATTCACGTTCTCGTTTATTGATCTCTATACTTGATTCTTTATTTGTTCCTAAAACGGTTGGTGAAGCTTTGGCCCATCCTGGATGACGGGATGCTATGATTGATGAGATKAATGCTCTCGATCATAATGATACATGGGATTTGGTAGAGTTACCTGCAGACAAAAAGACAATTGGCTGTAAATGGGTATTCACTGTGAAAGTTAATCCAGATGGATTTGTGGCTCGTCTGAAAGCCCGATTGGTAGCCAAAGGATAAGCTCAGACTTATGGGGTCGACTTCCACGAGACATTTTCTCCTGTGGCTAAGGTACCATCCATCTGCCAGTTTGTTTCATTAGCCGCTACTTACGACTGATTACTACACCAACTGGATGTGAAAAATGCCTTCTTGCATGGTGATTTACATAAGGAAGTCTATATGGAGCAACCACCTGGGTTTGTTGCTCAGGGGGAGTCTGGTAGAGTCTCTAAACTGCGTAAATCATTGTATGGTTTAAAGCAATCCACTCGTGCTTGGTTTGGACGGTTCAATGTCGTAGTGACTGAGTTTGGCTTACGGAGGAGCTCTTATGATCATTTTGTGTTCCTTACTTCGTCATCTTCAGGATGTATTCTACTAGTGGTATACGTTGACGACATTGTGATTACTGGGAGTGATGAGACTAGGATCAAGAAGCTAAAAGACTTCTTTGCATCTCGGTTTCAAACAAAGAACCTAGGTCCTTTAAAATGCTTATTGGGAATTGAAGTATCTCGTACTAGGAAAGGGATATGTTTGTCTCAACAGAAATATTGTTCGGATATATTGAATGACTCTGGTATGATTGAAACAAAACCTTGTGAGGCTCCAATGATTCCAAATATGAAATTGAAAGCGGACGATGGAGATCTACTTGAGGATCCAGAAAAGTACAGAAGAATTGTGGGATAGCTAAACTACCTTACGATTACACGTCCTGACATCGCTTTTCCAGTGAGTGTAGCAAGTCAGTTTATGTCATCTCCGAGAACTCCACATTGGGACACTATTAGGCATATACTYAAGTACGTAAAGGGTGCTCCTGGTCTCGATATCCTTTATCAAAATCACGGTCATCACGTCATAGAAGGGTTCCCAGATGCCGATTATAATGGGAATCCTACTACTAGGCAGTCTACGACAGGCTATTGTGTGTTGGTTGGAGGGAAACTAGTTTCATGGAAAAGCAAGAAACAGAATGTCATTTCCCAGTCAAGTGTTGAATCTAAATAAAGGGTTTGGCCCAAACCAGTTACGAGCTGATATGGTTGCATAATCTCCTAGGTGAAATTGTGTTTGCTCAATCTAAACCAATGAACCTATATTGTGATAATGAGGCGGCTATCCACATTGCAAACAATCCYGTGTTTCATGAAAGAACAAAACACATCGAGGTTGACTGCCATTTCACTCGTGAAAAGCTAGAAGATGGAATCATCTCAACACCCTTTGTTCGAACACGAAGACAACTTGCTGATTTTACCAAAGCATTACCTGGTTCATGAATCTCTTTTATTTGTAACAAGTTGGGCATGATTAACATCTATGCTCCAGCTTGAGGGGGAGTGTTAAGATACTCAATATCCTTGAAGATACTCAATATCCTTGAAGATACTCGATATCATAGTAAAATAGGAATTGGAGATTATGGGTAATATCTCCTTGTAATTTGCTACTGTGAATATCTTAGGAATCCTTTCCTTTTCTTTTCATATTCTTTGTGTATATATAGCCTTTGTACCTCCCTCTTTTGAGACAAGTGAAATAGAAAGAATTCTACACAAACTAACAACAATTAGTAAARCATTTACTTCAAAATGTCACCCAGATATCATAAATTAATTCCATCTACAAGATATTGAACAAGAACGCACCTTCGGATTACCTCCCAATATAATGTCTGTGCCCCTTCCAGCCATATTCGTAGATATGGTGATAGCATACTTTCTTCCAGCTTGGGCCACAGTTTCAGCCTCTCTGGCAGCATACTAAAAGCAACAACCCTTGTTACAAACATTGTCAACTCAAGAATTATGTTTCATTTAGGCTTAACAAACCTGTTTCACTAGTATAGATCATAAATCAATCCTACAAGAAGTGAGCATTCAATTGCATTGCTGMATAAGAGAATAAACCTTTGGTCGTGCATTGAGGACATTGTGAGGGATCTTGCTTTCCATCAGTAGAGCAGATAAATATTCTGAATTCTCGACACTGCATAACACAAAAAAAGTATCATAGAATGCCTTTACTGACACGTGTTGCATGAAAATGCAAAAACTAGCTGATTAGGAATGACCAATTCACAAGCCAACCTAGACTACTATATCAGCAAAAAACCTATCTCTCTGTGCCAAATGAACCTTTATAGCTAAAAGTATACTTACAAATTGGACATGCAGCAATTTGAAACCAAGTTATATTCAGGCTACACTTAAAACTTATATTAGTTGTAACTTTAAGTAATAGCATGCAACTCTTGAGCTAAATATACATGCACAAGCCATAAGCAAGTATGAAACCACTATTTCTCTCTTACTGGTAACAGCAGGCAGTTGAAAAGATGGTGTAGGCATCCTAAATAGCAAAMCCAAGTAGCAGAAAGTGCTGGTGATTCTTTAAGCCAAAAAGGACAARGAACTGGAAATATAGAACAGGATGTCCAACACTTTGCATCCTCACCGCCTCTAATGCTCAAATGATCACAAAAGGTTAAGGTCTCAACTAAAGAGGACACATAGACTTCTCAATAATGTAGGTCCTGACCTAAAGTCACTAACTTCAATATGGTTGAAGTCAAAGGAATATAGCACATTTTTAGATTTTAATTAGACATTTTCACTATGATAACAACCACCAAAAAATCACAAGTGGAGAATGAATTTAAGAGATAATATCACTTAGTACCTAGTGGTCCCAACTAAAACAGGACGACCAACTCTGAACATACTTACAACTTCTTCAYGAACATATTCCCATTTACCACGAGCAGTCTATGTAATCAAAACAATCAAAAACACTGTTAATGAAGATTAAAAATAAGTACTTCCCACAAGAAAATTTTGGTGTGAATGGTCACAGAACTTAATGTCTTACTGCGAAAGCTTGGATGGKTAAATCAATACGAATATTTGGCATATTTGTGGGCACTTMAATAACAGGCATCTGGAACATTTTCAAGAACTCCTTTTCCTGTAACAGTGTTAAGAAATAGATATTGCCATAATAAGTAGAGGTAAGACATCTAGGAGTTGTACTTAAGAACAATATGTAAATTCATAGAATGTCAATACTTCAGTTTTTGCARTCCCTGTCATCCCCGAAAGCTTCGGATATAGCTTAAACAGTGATTGATAAGTAATTTGCGCCACTACAACTGAATCCGCCTAAGAAGTTCAAGAGAAATACAATTTAGTAACTTTACAGAAGGGTTACCAAGAAGAATAAAGATGTGGTATAACACAGATGCTAATCATCATACATAACTATATACCTGGATCTGTAGACCTTCTTTGGCCTCCACAGCCTGGTGAATTCCCTCCGACCATCGTCGTTTTTCTTCCACTCTCCCGGTCAACTTCAAATAATTGAAAGCGTACTTATTAAGTTACATCAATATGATAAATGTTTCCACCAAATACAAGGGTTGCAAGTTGGTCCATAAACTACCACCTCTAAGATTAAGGTTTTTGAACTGCTGGGAGTTCCTAAATTTCTTACAAATTTAGAAAGGAAGAATGGTAGAGGACTAGTGGCCTAGACTAAATCTCTTGAAATGAAAAGTTGAAGACTGAARTTGGAAGTTGGAAGCTGGAAACTTGAACTTTCAAGTTCTCAATTAAAAGCATCTTCAGCTCATAACTATAACTCTTTACTTGGCAACATAGTAGTCAAATCATCATGCTATATTGCTATATTGCTATATTAAGTTAATATAACTTTTTCTAGATAACAGAGATGACTCTCAGACTCTACATGGCTATGTCTATGTTGTTATGTACCCACATTAGGCCCAAGCCCATCCATACTAATGTTATATACCCACATTAGGCCAAGCCCATCCATACTTGTTATTCTAGAAAGGGTATTTTAGGTAGTTACTTATACTAAGTCCAGTATAAATAGAGGTGTGGAGGAGAGTAGAGGCATCGAGAAATTATTGTGTGTTTTCTTAGGAGAGCTCCAGCCTCTCGAATAGCCAGAAACCACTTGTTTACTGTTGAATTCCAGCAATCGACCGGTTCATTTCATTGTTTGTTTGATCCTTAATTTGGGTTCATAACAAATTGGTATCAGAGMATTACCGAGTCCATGTCCAGGGAATTGCAGTTGTCGTATTGTGCGTTTGAAGCCACGGCCAGTAATATGATTCCACAGAAGAATGAATCCAGGAAAGAGGTGGCCTATATCTATTCCATTGTTACMGACATTAAGCAACAGTTTCGAGACCATATGACTCTGCTCAATCAAAAATTTAAGGAGATGATTTGTGAAGAGGTAAGTATCAATCGATCCCAATCATGTTCCTACATTGAAAACCCAACAAAATCAGGGGGTTCTTCACCGTCTGAGATCGAATCTGAAGGTTTTACCYCCAATAGTGAGGAGTTTGTCCATGGACAAATCCCAGATATCAGCCATGACMGCTTCAGGGTCAAGATGGTGATCAACGATGAGGGAGAAGAATATAACRAGAAGGCTGAAGGAAAAGGAGAAGCAGTCGATTATTCAGGAAGCAATTCAACTCGGTTGGGATATGGAGTGCGGTCAAAACCGAGTCAGCCATACGTTGATCCACAGTTGCCACCGATTTATCAAACCATCGAACCTACAAATCGACCACCAGGTTAGGCCACAACCGTCTAGAGCCTTGCTTGCTGCCGRTTGTGCCGCCACCCTCAAGCAGAACAAAAGTCACCAAGAAAGGATAGAGCGATGGATTTGGTTTCCAGTTYGTAAATATTGGATCTGGGTTCCAGTTGAAGAAAGCAAAATGGGAGACATCAAGAAAGCCCATGTTAATGAACCTCTTAGGGCCCAAGCCTAATCAATTTATTTCAGCTTGGCCTAACCTTGTGCCAAACGTAATATTGATGAGCAACCTCTTGAAGGACTCGGTATTGTTAACAACATATAGGGGTTATTGGTTGGGAGACGCTCGACAATAATTACCACCACCACCACTGCCACCGCCAACACTGATACCTCGATTGACGCCAAATGCCCATGGTACGGCGTGTAACCGTTGGCTGGAAAANCAATAATTACCACCACCACCACTGCCACCGCCAACACTGATACCTCGATTGACGCCAAATGCCCATGGTACGGCGTGTAACCGTTGGCTGGAAAAAGATAGTAGGACCTCGAGGTTTGATACATGTCCTCTGGTTAAAGAACTTGAGAAGAAAAGCCACAATAGTGAAGAAGAGGATCCAGGGGTGGATGGTTTTCTAAAAGAGAAGAATCAGGAAGTGGAGTCTTTTAAGGAGAAAAATCAAAAAATGGGGGATTTAAACTCCATGCCTCCATGGTAATGTCTCAAGGGACCGAGGTTGTAAAGGGGAATTGTATCAGATGGGTAATAGAGACAAGAAAGAATCTTCAGTCAAGAGATGTGTATTTCCAGATTCATGAGTCATCTTAGAGTGAAGAAAACACATTAGTGAAAGAATTGTATAAGGTTAGCAAAGTTGTGACTATGCTAGTTGGGTTGATCTTTGTTTGGTGCTGCCACAAAATCATTAAGTACCTTGTGTGGGAGTGTATTATTGGTTGGCCAGGTCTGATGGAGTTCATCAGAATGGTGGTTAAGGTGAAGTGGGCAGCCGAGTCTTATGGTGTTAAGACTACTCAAGATGAGGAAGATGTCCTGCTGTGGAGTTCAGCACATTACTCACAACATGAAACAAAACTGTTATAATGGTTTCCGATTGCAGGACTGGGCTTAAAGGCTGAGAACACTCATATCTAGGGGTATGTGGCTGAGAATATGAGTGGCAGACTTGCTGAAATTCTTGTGACTTTGAACGTTGAATTGAAAAGAAAGTGTGATATTTTCGTAAGGCATTCAGGGAGTGGTAATGACATAATGCGGTCCTTCTATGTAGGTGAAATGGAGCTTTGGGGAGGAAGTGACTTTGGTGGCAACGGGGTGGGAGATGTTGATACCGCAGCAGTTCTTCTATTTTTTCTATCCACCTTTAGGACAAGGTGGTTCTTTGGGGGTGGGGTAATGTTATGTACCCACTTACAACTAACTACCTAAAAATCCCTTTCTAACCCCTTCTAGAATAACTAGTATGGATGGGCTTGGGCCTAATGTGGGTACATAACATATGCTTTCATAGGAGTACAATGTTTGTGGTGAAGCTTGAGTATATGTTATTTTAGCTTCTCAAAGCTCATTAAGTGCCTATGTTTTGTTGAATACTTTTGCATAATCTGAGGCCTATGGAAGGTTCAATCACCAAAAGACGATGATGAATTGTGTGCCAGTCTGCCAGAGTAGCTCATGACATCAACAATACAATGCCTACATGAATGGTCATTGAATAATACAATCATTCTTAGTTCAAGTACATTCATGTACATGAGTTAACTCCACTAATATCATGCATGATTGACAGTTTTATACTCTTGAGCACCAACATAGAGGTTATTGTTTGTTTCAATGCAATATCAAATTCCCAAATTGACGCTCCGGATCGAATGCAGACACTTTCAGGCACAAGATTCAAAATACTTTTATCATTATATGCCTAAACAATATATATATTAGATAGCCAAGGTCAAGGCTTCATCTGCATATCAGGATGGCAATTCATTATGACTATTCCTCTACTTATCAATTTTACTATGGTAGTCTTCTATGGTTGCTACACCGAATAGGTTCACAGTTTCAAAACATTGATTTACTCTTGGTCAGATGTCAAGTAGTCGAAAAAGGCGGAAGAGAAAAGAACACAACTATAAATGAAAAAAAGATAAGCAAAAATAACTTGATCATTCATGAGAATTTGTTCATTACCTCATTTATTATTAGAGCTTTCCCATTTTTAACAATGTATTGGACATTTTGGCGATAGAACTCCTTGGCTTTCAAAGCATTCATGACAAATCTACAATATTTTTATGATGATAAAGCTCAAAATTATTTGACAAGCCTAATGGTTACTAGATGAAAATAAAAAATATGATAAAATTAAAGTTACCTAGCCCAAGGGTCATTCTCATCCCGTAGATCATTTGTTTCAAGAGCCATCTCAGATAGGGCAATTCCTTCTTCAGTCAACTCCACTGAATTATCCTTAAGCTCTATATTGTAATGATGTGTAGTGAAATAAATAATGAGCCATGAGCCATGAGCCCATGATGGAGATGGATAGCGAGGAATAAACATCAAAAGGAAATAGAGGGGGCGAGAAAGTAGGGTACAAGGCCACGCATGAGAAGCTCGGCTACTTTGGCAGCAACTGGATAGCGTGCAGCATCTGTAGTAGCCTGAGATGCAGATCAAAGTATTAAAGCTTTTAAGTTACAGCKTTGGTTTGGATCCAGAAGATACATCCRGCATTCCTTCTACACAAATAAGGGCAGAACTTATAGTAAGAACATATACCTCACCACTTATCAGCAATGGGTTTCTCCCCTCATCAATTAGGACAGAATCAACTTCATCAACTATTGCAAAATGGAACGGTTTTGGCCTGAAAAACACTGTGCTATTAATCCCAGAGACGATCCAAATCAAATGTACATAGTACAAAAAATGTGGCAATACCATCTCATAACAAGTTGTCCACTGCTTCCAGCAAGATTATCTCTCAAATAGTCAAAACCAAGTTCCTAGCACAATTAAATTTACAGTCATAGTGCATGATAGAACGACCCACTTGCACTTGTATAAGAAAGTAAAATGATGACAGTTGCAGCCAGAAAAATCAGACTTACAGAATTATTGGTGTACGTAATATCACATCTATAATTAGACCTCATTTCCTTAGCTTTCATCCCTCTCTATACGTGGTAATACAAAAGAAAATAATTAAAGAGGAAGTTGTAAGGACTAGCTTATGCATGTTATCACATATGGGTACATAGCTTAACAACTTACTTGGATAAGACCAACAGAAAGGCCTAAGAAGCGATGGACACGACCCATCCACTCAGCATCACGTTGAGCAAGGTAATCATTGACAGTAACCACTAAGAAGGCAGATACAGTAAATCAATAAAATATAGGTGTCATCTTGTGCTCCTTGCAGATCAAATCATAGTTTATATTTTGCAGTTTGACATGCTTTCATTGTATTTGAATGAATCACCGTCCAAATAAACATGTACAACAAATTAAAGTACAACAAGAGGTTACTGGAGTAACTGAAAGGGAGTATAGAAAAAAGATGAACAGTTACAGCAAAATTTGAAGTACAAGCATCTATAATACCCATACCATGAACACCCTCGCCAGTCAAGGCATTAAGATATGCAGCCAATGTCAAAACCAATGTCTTCCCCTCTCCAGTTTTCATCTCAGCAATAGACCCGTCATTAAGCACTGCACCACCAATAATCTAGCAATTGCAGGGACAAATTCTAAGCAAGTTAATTAACCAAATTTCGCACTTAAACACATAAATAAGTGCATTGAATTTATCTAGTTTGGTTCAAGTTGCATACTCCAATTACAACTTACAACAAACATACGAGACAGAGAAAGAGACCTACACATCGAAATGACGCATACCAAGCTTCCTCTTGGCAGCTTCACGAACAATAGCAAATGCCTCTGCGGTATCATTATGTAATGTAAATACTTCAACTATTCCATACAAAAAGACACAAACTTTAATGCCAGAAACTTGAGATCAGCTATTTAATAACCAGCTTCAATATTTGCAAGTGTCTATCCTTTTCCCAACCGTCGGCGGAACTCAGCAGTTTTTGCAGTTAGCTGATTAACCAATAATAAAAATCAAGATTCTTGATATAGAAAAAGCATCATGCAGTGGATGCCCCAAAAGTAAAGTCAGCAAGCTTTGGAAAACAATTAAAACACTCAAACTTGTTCATCAGAGAACTTCTGAATTCGAGACTCGAAGGAGTTAACGTACTCTACAAGACGATAATAATCCCGAATGACCCAGTAATTCAAGCTTGTGAAATCACCCCATGTCTTCGTAACGAGGCCTAAATTTTCCTGAAAATATTAACAGACTTGTAGACATTTCAACAAACAAGTGATGAGCAAATAAATAAACCATTATTTTGGATGTAAAAGAGAGAAACAAAAAGAAAAATGCTCTGACAAAACCTTGAGAGATTCTGTTATTAGTGTGGGAGTGAGGCGACGACATCGTGTTCGAGAGGAAAGAAGAGGGAAAGAAATGGTGGCTACTGCAAAGAAGTAAGTATAGGGACGAGAAGAGGACTGATGACTCTTTGATGTTACAGAGAAAAAGGTCGTATTTGAGACCGCAGAGGAAAAACCCGCCATTGTTGGGTGGTCTTTGGTGCTCAACTGTGCTACCAAATCAAATCAACTGAGCTCCTCCTATGTACCCATCTCCGGTGCGTGCGTTTTTTTTTCTTCTTCCGAAGTTTGAAATAGTCTGAAATCTTGAGCTGTTTGTTTTTTAAACGGATAAACTTATGAATTCATTTAAATCAGGGAAAAGTCTAAAAAACCTTAATGGACATTTCAAAATATGTTAAATAACAAATAAGTCTTTGGATATTCTAAAAAATGTTAAATTACTCCTTGGATAATTTTTTTAAACAAATAAGTCCTTGGGCAATTTAAAACATGTTAAATAACTCATTGGACAATTTTTGGAACAAATAAGTCTTTGGACAATCCAAAACATGTTAAATAACTCCATAGACTTTTCTAAAACCTGTTAGATACATTCTTATGACTTGTACAACTAGTTAAAGTGGTAAAATAATGAAAAAAGTCCGAAAAAACCTCCAATGAACATTCATATTTTGAACGATTAAGACCTTAAATATTTTTTCAACCAAAAAGTAATTAGATTTATAAAATTAAACAAATATAACAAAAAAGTACTTACATTTACAAAAAATCACTGACAGAATATATTTTAATTTTAATTAAAATAAATTTTATCAAAAATCACTGACAGAATATATTTTTTTGTACGATTAAGTCCCAATGAACCTAGTTGGTGTCATTTTGACTCAATTGGACTTTTTTACAAGAATTATGCCCATTATATCCAC